CACCCCTGGATAAGCCTCCTGCAGCTCTGTCCCATTATCTGCCCCAGCCTCAAGGTCCCGTTCACCCCTGCCTCACTCCCTCCATCAATGTGGGGGCCTCAGTCTGCCCCTCCAGTCCCTCTCTCCTCATCACTTCCCCTTCCTTTCCACAGACTTACCTACTGGCTATTGCTCTATACTGCATTCCTGGCCACATGCATGATGTGGCTGTGTACTTGCATTTGGCATCCCAATCTGGCACCAATATATTGGTGCCCCTCTAGAGAGAGTGTGTGTCTGTGTGTATTACCCCCAACCCCTCTGCCTTCCTGCTATAGTAGCCTGGAGCCCATGCCTGGGCTGTCCTGCGGATCCTCCGCACTGTCACTGCTGCCCCTCAGGGTGGCCCAGCGGTGGCGGTGATTGCAGCGGAGCCCAAAATGCGTGATTAATGCATTAAAAACATGAATGTGTTAATTGGTTGTTGCATTAATCACGCACATTAAAGGTGATTGATAGCCCTATTAATTAGCGCATCCATGATGGTGCTTATTTGTGTGCACCCACTGGCTCTTCAAAACAGCTATGTTGCATCCATCTTTGAGTTGGCACATGCAAAGTGAGCATGCCTGGCTTTCCTGTAAGGTCTAGAGCAGTGGTTCTCAACAATTTTTTAAACTCTGAGGATAGTGATAGACATGTACGTCCCCACTGTAGCTCTTGGCACTTCATATAAAGTGCTATGAGTTAGAACGACCCTCCTCCCCCAAACTCAGTAGAATTTGTTGTTGGGTCGGTAGGGGAAGAGGGGTGGAAATGAGCTTCACTTTGAAGCCATTCCAGCAGAGGAGCCTGCCTGCATCATCTGTCCTCTAGCCTTGCCGCCCCCTCTCCCTCGCCCCAGCTCCCATGCTATCTTCAGGAAGAGGGAGGGAGAGGGAGCTGCAGGCACGGTGGTTGCCTGACTAGAGCTGGAAGAGGAAGGTGCTAGGGGAGGGATGTGGTAAGTGTTGGCTTAGAAACGGTATTTAAAGGCCTGTTTTTTGGGAATCGGCTTATAGGTATAAATATGTGCGTTATAAGGGGTCAAGATGGGCAGTAGCGGTTAAATAGATTTCTAAAGAGCTTGGAAGATGCACACACAGCTTCTCATGGCCCTGAAAGCAGATGGGTTATCTAGCACAACAGGACCAACGGGTGGACATACAACCTGAAAATTTTGAGGGGCATGGCATAACACAAGATCACAGCCTTCAAGGCATATAGGTTGTCTAACGCAACAAGGATACATAGCCTGGGAACCAACTAAGTATGTACCATACTGTCCCATAACACAAGATAAATGACACCAGTGACAAGGCCTCAGATCAGGGGGGTCTAAGTCCCAGTTTTGGGGGAACAGACCAAATTAGGAGAAGGCCCGGAAGGGTACATGGACATGTGACCACAGAGAGACAACCAACCACAGATAGCCACGAGTGGACCACAACTGAACAGTCATCAGGAGTCATCAAGGGTGAAGGAAAATACAAAAGCAGAGACTTGAGGTTAACAAAGAGGCCTACCCATCCCTCCTCTTCCTCCTGGTCCCTCCTTGTCCCTTTGTCCCATCCCTCCCTGTTCCTTCTTCTCTTCGTCCCTGTTCCTCCCCATTTTGTTCCCTGAGAGGGGTCCCCTTCCCTATCCCCATCCTCTGGGAAGGGTCCCCAAGGCCACCATGGACAGAGGGCATACCAGCAGCCCGTCTCATTCACCCCACTGGTGTGGGCCTAGGCACTCCCCCCTGGCTGTGGGCCTTGGCATCCCACCTCTAGACTGCTGACATGACATACTGACATCTGACACCTAAGAAAGCCTCAGAGTGGAGCGTGCGTACTTCGACTCTGATGACAGCCCTCGGATTGGTAGATATAGAATTGTTTGACTGTTTGTATTGTTGCTTTTTTGTTATTACTCTGTATCAGTAAATTTGTCTGTTGTCAGCTGGCAGGTATTGTGGGCAGTCTGAGGGTTGTGCTCGCCTGCAACAAAGATATAAGGGCTGGGTTCCTAAAATCCAGGGTCGACAGTGAGGTGGGGGGCCTCCAATCCACTCCCCTCCCAGTGCGAATTGGGCAAACCCCAGCCTGCATCTCCCCCTCCCTTCTCCCCCCCCTTCCTGCAGACAACACCAGGGGCTGACCAGAGGGAAGCCAAGTCCCTTAAGGTGCTCCACTTTGGAGCACCTTCAGTTGATTGGTCATTAGATGAGGGTTAATTCATTACGAGATCTGCCTCTTTTAAAGTGCTCTGCAGCCACGTGCATGCGTCACGGCATGGCTATAGATTGCTTTCAGAAGGCTGACCGTACGACAAGTGTCACTTCTGTCAGCAAAATCCTTGTCAGACTCAAAGCACCTCTCCATAACTTTATGGAGCATCTCATTTCAAAACTTTTTTTTTTTTATAACAGCTCTTATTTCCTTGTGGAGGGGGCAGACAAGTGGGGGTGGGGGAGCAGCTAGCCAGGGAGAGCTTAAGCCTGTCCTTAACTGCCTAGTTCCTCATACCTGAAGCCTGAGCCGTCCTTTATCTGATTATCTCTCACTTTGCTTATCTCCTCACACTTTCTGCTGCACCCTTCCAATGATCTGGGGCACTTCAGGATACCTCTCATCCTGGTGGGGAGTTTACTCATAAAGTTTACTCTTAAATATTTTATTGTGACTCATGTGGCAAGCTCACATAACTTTCTCAGCAGTCTCTACCCAGAGTGAAACTTTGCCTTGCAAAAGTTGGCAAAAGAAAGTGGTAGCCAAAAGAGGACAGCTGGGGACCTGGAAGGGCTTTTGTACATCCAGTTTACAACACTGAGACACAAGTGGCATTTTCCTCTTTGCCTTGTTACCTGCCTATCTGTTTTCTGTTGGAAGAAGAAACAGCTTCAGTATACAAAAAATCCAGAAACCAAGATCAGTCTCTTACCATTGATTTCTTTCCAAAAGGAGACTTCTGATGCCTCTTAAAATGTGCTGTGTAAATAGAGAGCAGGAAGAGATAAAGGAGTAAGTTGAACTTACAGGGGTGTAGGTTGTTTCACCCAAAGCACCCAAGTTGATCTTAACATTTAAATAATAAACTAAGACTTTAACTTTTTGTACACTAAGAAAGTCCTGCCCTTGGCAAGAGAGTCTCCACTTCAAGATTCTGTTAAACTTGTGGGTAACAAATAGGGTAACTTTATGATATTTGATATCCAGAACACTTATTTAATCCTCACAACATACCATTTATACCTGACGATAATAGCTCTGTGGAAAATAAAGTATTTGAATGATTGTGGAGGGCAGTCTGTTTACTGCAAAACTATAGTGAGATACATAA